TTTTTTTTTTTTTTTTTTTTATAGAAGAGGGGGCAAACGAGCATGTGGCTCACCTGATGTTAAGTGACTACCGCCGCCCATGATCAACCGCAACACCAGGGGAATTGCAGGTGCGTTGCCGGCCCTTTAGAAAGGAGTAAGCTCTTTTCTTGAAGGTCCCCAGGTCGTATCGGTCCGGAAAAATCACCGGTGGTAAATTATTCCACAGAGAGGTTGTACGCGGAAGAAAGCTCCTTTTGAAACGTACAGTGGTGGACCGCCAAGCATCCAGATGGTGTGGATGGTATCGGGACGTTTGCCGTGTAGTGCGTTCACGAAATTTGGCGGCTGGGATTAATCCGAACAATTCCTCAGAGCACTCCCCGTGATAGATGCGATAAAATACGCAAAGAGATGCAACATCTCTTCGCAGCGCCAGTGAATCGAGCCGATCGGAAAGCACTCGGTCGTCGACGATTCGAGCCGCTCTGCGCTGGATGCGGTCAAGTGGAAGTAGCTGGTACTGGGGAGCTCCAGCCCAGAGATGGGAACAGTATTCCATGAGCGGCCGAACCTGCGCCTTGTAAAGTTGCAAGCGGTGTGCCGGCATGAAATACTGTCCCGCTCTGCTGAGCACGCCAAGCTTCTTAATTGAGGATAAATGTAGATGTCTTTGGGCCACAGCATCCACTTACCATGAGGTTGAGTGTGTGCTCGTTTGTCACCAATATTCTATAGAAAAATCTTGTTGTTCTTTTCCGTTACAAAAAATGACCGAAGGGTTTTAAATAGTGTCTTAGACGCAGGAATGAACACAAAGACTAGTCTAAATAATTAGTGTGTCATATAACATCTTGGTGATGTAATGACGGCGTAGGAGTGTCCACTAACCCATATATCTCGTGTATATCGTAAGAGGCGACAGAGTGGTATGAAAGAGGATACGGGCAACAATTGAAGACATAACAACTGTGGTTGCCAAGCGTGCCAACTATGACAAACGTACTCTGCAGTCTATTAGGAAGTCTATGTAATGTTTAGCTGTAGAACTTTCATATGCTGAAGCTTCATAAGTAAACGAATTAATAAAGACGTCATCTAAGGCCTTCCGCCCTTACGAGTTCTCTAAACTTCGATAATCTCCCATCTTCATCTCATCTCATTCATATTATAATACGTATTCACATGTTTTAGTATAGAACCGTGGTAGCTCAGATGGTTAGCGTTCGCTGTAAATTACATAATACACGAGCAAACCGGGTTCGATCCCCGCCGGCACCAATGAAATTGTTAATTGCAATTTTAAATGCTAATTTACCACGTACTCGGCGGAGAAGGAAAACGTGAGGAAACCTGCATGTCTGAGAAATAAGAAAAAAAAAATATTTCGAAGACACGTGAAGTTCGCCAACACGCATTTGGGCAGCGTGGCGGACAATTCCTTGCCCTAAAACCCTCTCAGAAATGAGAGGACGCCTGTGCCGAGCAGTGGGACGTATATAGGCTGTAAATTTAACTTTTAACTTTATGTTTTAGTATGCAAATAAACTTAGCTATACACCTACAGTGATCTTTACAAGAGTTCATCATCATTACAGCCCTTTACAAGTCCACTGCTGAACATATGCCTCCCCCAAGTATGGCCACAAAGCACGGTCCTGAGCCACCTGCATCCATCGACTTCCTGCATGTCTTACCAGGTCGTCACTCCATCTAGTGGGGGGTCGCCCTACACTTCGTCTACCGGTACGAGGCTGCCACTCGAGAACCTTTTTTGCCCAACGGTTGTCGGTTCTTCGAGCTATATGGTCGGCCCATTGCCACTTCAGCTTACTAATCCGTTGGGCTATGTCGGTCACTGTGGTTCTACTGCGGATATCCTCATTTTTAAGTTTATCACGCAAAGTAACTCCGAGCATAGCCCTCTCCATAGCTCGCTGAGCGAATTTGAGCGTCCTCATACGGCCAGCAGTGAAGGACCACGTCTCAGTTCCATAGGTCATCACTGGCTACACGCGCTGGTTGTACAATTTAGTTTTCAGGTTTTGAGGTATACCTGACGAGAAGATGTGTCGTAATTTCCCGAACGCTGCCCAGCCGAGTTGAATCCGTCGATTGACCTCTCGGTCGAAGTTTGACTTACCTAGCCGGACTATTTGTCCCAGGTAAACGTACTCGTCAACAACTTCGAGCTTAGTGCCCCCAACAACTACCGGCATAGGTGTGACATGGACATTAAACATGATCTTTGTTTTGTCCATGTTCATCTTAAGACCTATCCGTTGGGAGGCACAATTGAGGTCATTGAGCATAGTGCTTAAGTCCTCCAGCGATTCTGCCATAAGGACTATATCGTCGGCAAATCGAAGGTGAGTGATGTACTCGCCATTGATGTTAATACCGTATCCTTTCCAGTCCAGTAGCTTGAAAACGTCTTCCAATGCAGCGGTGAAGAGTTTCGGGGAAATAACGTCACCTGTCTTACACCTCTCTGCAGTTGGATAGGTTTCGTACTCTGGTGCTGTACTCGGATAGCCATCGTACAAACACTTCAGCACTTCGATATACCGACAGTCAACTTGGCACCGCTGAAGCGACTGTAGCACCGCCCAAATTTCGACTGAATCAAAGGCTTTCTCATAGTCCACATACGCCAGGCGAAGTGGCAGATTGTACTCTTCGGACTTCTGTACAACTTGCCGAAGGGTATGTATGTGGTCTATGTTACTAAAGCCTTTTCGGAAAGCGGCTTGTTCGGGAGGCTGGAAGTCGTCGAGTCTGCGTGTGAGACGATTCGTAATGACTCGAAAACAGCACGTAGACGCGGCTCAGAAGGGATATCGGTCTGTAGTTCTTCAAGAGGGCGTTGTCACCTTTCTTGAAGAACAAAACCACCGCACTTCTGCTCCACGCCTCCGGAGTAGGGCCACCATGGTGGACGGAATTAAAGAGCCTCTGAAGGACTTAAAGTACCGGTTTTCAACCCGCTTTCAGAAGCTCCGCTGTAATTCCATCCTCGCCCGGGGACTTGCCGTTTTTAAGTTGCTGGAGAACCATTCTAATCTCGCTCAGACTGACTTCCGGGATATCGTCGGATAAGACCCGCTCTTGGATCGTTACTCACACTAGCGTGTGGCTCCAACGATGATGTGTACAGCTGCCCATAGAACCTCTCAAACTCACTCAGAATCTCAGGTGTCCTGGAAACGATGCTGCCACACTCAGTCTTCAGCTTTGACAGTTGGCTCTTACTGGCAGACAATCTTGTAGGCACTGAAAGCGGTTACGTAACTCGAGCTGAAAGGTTTCGGGATTCTGGATTAGAGCACGAGTGTCCCACTCGTTGAGAACGTTGACTTCATTAGACGAGACCTCTCCAACTTAACGATTAGGTTTAGTGTGCCTCTAACCATTCGGTGATCGCTGCCAGTTTTCACCCTTGCGATCACTGAGGCATCACTGAACAGTTGGCGTCTGGTCATCATAATAAAGTCAATCTCATTTTTTGTCGAACCGTCGGGGCTCGACCAGTTCCACTTCCTGTGGGGCCGCTTCTGGAAAAAAGAGTTCATCATAAAGAGTCCCTCTTTCTCCATGAAGTCGGCCAGCTGCTGGCCCCTACGGTTTCGTTGCCCTACTCCAAATTTCCCTAACTGCAGCTCACCACTTTCTCTTGTGCCTAGTTTTGCGTTGAAGTCTCCCATCAACACCGTGTAGGTCGCCCTCCCGGTGATAGAACAAGATGCCGGACTCGAGGATTACCGTCTCCTCCCCCCTCTCTTCGGACCTCGAATAACCCAATAATATGCCAGCGCAACTTGTCTACCTCTTCTTCCAATTCCAGTATCTTCTCGTCAGTCCTCAGGGTGCGTGCGTTATATGTTGCCAGGTCGAGTCGTCGTAGGTGGCAACCGAATCTCCACCGGAGATTCTTAGCACCTCCTGCCCCGCCGTTACCATGGTCGCCACCGTAGCCAGAAATAGCGGGGCCGCCGGGGACTGGGGGCCGTTTGTTTGCGTCGTTACTCATGGGGGGATATTTGCCATAGTTGCCACGCTTGGCGAGCGGGTTGGCAACCGCAGTTTTTTTGTACAGTTGCTGTTATCAGGAAGATGCTGCTGCCCATCTCCTGCCTGTCTCCCTCTGTCGCCTCTTACGACAACCACGGGTAGTGGATATTCTCAACCGCCACTACACGGCAAGAGTTAGCAGTACAATACATATCGCACCTTCGACTGATCTGGGTGCTTTAAGCCTGTCTTAATATACCAGATTAGCTCAGGGGTCATGCGTTCTCCGTAACTTTCATAGTGCGAGAGCAAGCCGTGTTCGAACCCGCTGGCAAAAATAACACTGTTAATTGCAAGTTAAGTGCTGATTCGCCACATGCTCGGCGGTGAAGGAAATCTGTGAGAAAATCTGTATGGGTGAGATATTAAAAAAACTGGATGACTTGTGAAGTTCATCAACAACACGCGTTGGGGCAGTGCGGCTTAATTTCTGCTCAAAACAGAAATGAGGCATGTTCCCAGTAGTGAAGAATTCGTGTTTTTTGTTCTTTATATAGCTGTCTCTTGCCTGCTTTAGAATACATTAAAACATGTCATGGAACCTTTACTTTCGACCGTTGACAAATTAATCAATATTTCTTTCAGGAACTAATATTTTTTTTCTTTTCACAGCTCCTAATTATCGTTGTTTCTTTTCAGTAGCTAATGATGCGCTCTATTTTTCAGTGGCATAGCGTGTTTTTTTTTTGGGATGGTAGAGGGTTTGATGGTGAGCAAGGAGTGTTGACAAAGCGGCTTTGCGATGATGCAAAAAATTTTGTGTTCTGTTATTCTTACATAGAAACAAATTCTTTTAAAGATTTCTAAATTTCTTAGAAAGCCAGTATTATTTTTATTTTGAATTAAAACTGAATAAAATGCAACATTCCTACTCAAGATCCGACTCACGAACTCCGCTCCACACTTCGCCAGTTATGAACACCCTCTGACTTATTCTCATCTCCTTCTAGGTAAAATCTGACTTCATAGCGCTTCTGAAAGAGAAGTCAGTGGGCAGACATTCAAGATGGGCAGAAGTCAAGAAGAAGGTAGACCTCGACCCGAGGTACAAGGCAGTGGAAAGCAGTACCCTAAGGGAAGATTACTTTAGAGAGTACTGCAAGTTAGTGAAGGACGAGAGAAAAAAGGAAAAGGACGGCAAAGAGAAGGGTGAGAAGCCAATTTGTTATTTTTATTAATGTTTTTATTTTTTTTAAGTTAAAGTAACAGGGTATATATGTCCCAATGCTGAACACAGGTTTCTCATTTCAGAGAGGGTTTTAGGGCAAGAAAATGTTCGCCGCGCTGCCCCAATGAGTGTAGGTGAACTTAACATGTTTTCAAATATTTTTTTCTTATCGCCGACCATGTGATAAATCAGCTTAGCCCCTGAGCCGTGGTAGCTAAGAGATTAGGCGCTCATTGTGAATTTCACAGTACGCGAGCGACCCGGGTTCGATTCCAGCCGTCACCAATGAAATGTTTTTATTTCTTACATGAGGAATTTTTAACGCCGATTTGTGTAAAAAGAGAATCGAGAATCTTATGATCCTCGATAAAGTACAGAATAACATGCTAGGACTCCTTCTTTGCCGAGCAGTTCGCCTGAGTAAACATGTGTCATTCATTCATTTTTAGTGACCCGACCCTTCAAGTATTGTTTCGTCTTACGAATCGGGTCATTTGGTTCGAACATTTAAATGGATTATTTCGAGTTTCAGTACTCTGTGATCTGTGAGATCCGCTCAGTAATGTCGATCGTTGGACATTCTACACTCTGGTCGTACATGCTGTCAATCTTTTGATCCGGAACATTAAAAAATGTAATTGCAATCATCAATACTTTGTCGCGACCCGGGTCAAATGAACGAATTATTCAAGATTGACACATGTCTACGCCTGAGTAGGTACCATTCTTACCTATTTTTGCTGCTAAGCAGCAATACTTGCACTGCTGCCTTCCGGCCTGATGGGTATAGAGACAGTCATTATATTAGGCTGTTAGTGATCTTTATATAAAGTCTGCTGCAGGAATCCATGAACTGCAGTCGGTACTTATCATCAGGTGGACTGGACTGTAAGGCGTGGCCACGCTAGAGCGACCTGCGGAGGCGAAAGGCTTGAAGACGCTGAGGCGGCTGAATGACAAGTGGTTTCTTCCTGCTATTATAGTGCGCGCTAAAAATGACTAGAAGAGAGTAGTGTTTTGCACAATATACAATGCAAATTAAAATAGGTGTTCATGATTTACACTAAAACAGGCATCAATTAGGTGAATATCGTAGACTGTATGATGAAATACGTCAATACTCACGAAAGTTTTGAGAAATATAATATTATGCACATAATTTTCATGCTTACTTGGCCATATTGCAGACTGAGACATTATATCGCCGATAAACGTCTCCGTATTTATGTTTTGCATCGCGGAAAAATCAACACCATTTGATTAAAACGCAAGACGCGCGAACACGGACTATGTCCTTCAATGGCCGCGGCCGCCTGACGCGCACGCCAGACGCGCCAACGTGGCACCTCCCGTTCGTCTTGTATTGTTATTTTTCCCGCTCATCGCAGACGCAAGATGCGTCGCGCTAGCGTGGCACACGACTATGTTCGAGTGTCTGGCCTTTTATGGGTATATTAGTCAAAAAGTTAAATACTCAGACCAGTGTTGAGAGTGCGAGAGGTTTTGTACAATTATCACAAATTCGCCTGCCAGATGTGGTATTTTCAGAATCAACTTTTCGCATTAAAACCTGCCTACGATAAACAGTGAAAATTCCTAGGTAGTAGAATATGTCCTGTGACTAATAAAGTTAAATTTTCAGAACGTGACCGGAGTAGTAGTAAAAAAGAGAAGAAAGACAAAGAAAGAGACAAGGAAAAAGACAAGGAGCGCGACAAGGACAGCAAGAAGGAGAAAAAGAAAGAGAAGACTGGTGACGTGAGTAAAAAGATCAATTATTAGTAGTCGCCCAGAAGTTGAAATTAGACCTTAATTTACAAAAAAATTCAAGTTTGTATATAAGCCAAGCTGTATTTTATTTTAAACTCTCAGAATGTATGCGTGTTATCTATGCTTTCAACTGCACATTGATATATAAATCTATGGCGACAATCTCTACTCCGTGCGCCAATTTAGCCACAGATAATTATGTGTTTGACATTGGCTGTGTGAACATAATCAATAAATGTTTCATTTTATTTAATATACTTGTAGCACACATCGTATATAAAATTTTAGCTTTCTGCACTCCTACGTACGCGCAATGTGTTTCTTCATATAACATATTTATATTATATAGATCACTTAAAGGTGTTTCTTTAGTTTTAATTGAAATATTAAAAAGATGACTACGATGCAATGCTCATATACATGAAAGGTTGTGTCTGCTTCTGCATAGACTAAAAATTAATAATTTTTTGGTTAAAGGTAGCCATGGTTAAAACATGAGCAAGAAGTTGGGCGTCTCAGTCCCTCCGTGACGTCCCATGGGTACTATAGAATATTCGAAGTGCTATAAAATCTGTAAAACCTAGTTTCATTCAATAATAGTTTGCGTTTAGTTGTCAAGGCAATGTAAAGAGCTTTGAGATGGCTTAAATATTTAATAATGGCTTTTCGTAACTTAATTTCATATCACTAAGTAGACTTCACAGATTCCACGGTTGACCTTGCATTACAGTACGTACTTCTATTGCAAAAACGGTTGAGCGCATGAAAAACGTTACAACGTACAAACGTTGTTGTTTGTACATAACAAAATTTGTCGCAAATTTTGTGCTGTATAATTTTGATTAATTAAAACTACTTTTACGGATTTTATCGCGTTTAATTTTAATTATTTTTATTTTTAATTCCCGACGTTTCGGGTGCTTTTCAGCACCCATGGTCACGGGGGACTGAGATGACTGACGTCCCGATGTCATTGTTAAACCTCAGTCCCCCGTGACCATGGGTGCTGGAAAGCACCCGAAACGTCGGGAATTAAAAATAAAAATAATTAAAATTAAACGCGATAAAATCCGTAAAAGTAGTTTTAATCAATGTGTAGTGTTCGCGTAAATATAAGAAACCATTCTGTATAATTTTTATAACTAAATGTTAACATTATTGGAGCAATAGAAACACAGATAATCACTAAAAACTGCATTTGTTGACCTTTGACCTTGAATAACTTATGACGCAGACACGAGATTTTATAAGACGAGACAACTTTTAGAAAGCCATAGTGAAGGTATATACCAAAACTCAGCTTTCAGATCAGCATTAGAGATGAAACGGATAGCTGTTTGGCCGGATACCGGATATTCGGGCACTCTTATTGCCGGATAGCCTATCCGGCTGCCGGATAGCTGGATATCCGGCCGTCGGATATTTTCCGAACATTGCTGTTTAGTGCATCGTAGACATGCGTCGTACTTGCAAAATTCAGTACCAGGGCTTCCAAGTACGTCCACCTTCATCTAAAGGTGTACGTACTTGGAAGCACTAGACACAAGTATATAAGTACACTAACACTCCGCGTGATAGTTCGGAGATGTTCTATATATGCTGTTTATGATTCGGAATGTTGATAGCGTGATTTAGGCTTCGGTGTGTTTCGCTTGCGCGCAACGACAGCGCCGCCACACTTGCATAGAGCATTGAACCGTAAGTCAATATAAATAAAAAGCAGAATCGCGTTTACAATAAAAACTTCCAAACCTTTAAATTAAATATAGCTTGATAGAATATTGATGTGTAATAGAATATAAATAAGGAGCGGAATCACGTCGACTGTCGACAGAGCGAGAATATTAAAATACTTTGAAGTCTTGCGAGTATTTTGGGTATCGGCACTTGGTTGGCGTACTTGCAAGTAAAAAGATCTGGTATAAAAACCTAGTCGCGTAAATACGCACCATACCTACCTAGTGCATCGCAAGAAGCGAAAAGTAAAGTGGGTGCAAACTGTTCGCGATCGTGACCTTTATATTTGCTGGACAGGTATTGCTACACAATACCATCAGTGCAAACTGTTCGCGATCGTGACCCTTATATTTGGTGGACAGGTGTTGCTACACAATACCATCAGTGCAAACTGTTCGCGATCGTGACCCTTATATTTGGTGGACAGGTGTTGCTACACAATACCATCAGTGCAAACTGTTCGCGATCGTGACCCTTATATTTGGTGGACAGGTGTTGCTACACAATACCATCAGTGCAAACTGTTCGCGATCGTGACCCTTATATTTGGTGGACAGATGTTGCTACACAATACCATCAGTGCAAACTGTTCGCGATCGTGACCCTTATATTTGGTGGACAGATGTTGCTACACAATACCATCAGTGCAAACTGTTCGCGATCGTGACCCTTATATTTGGTGGACAGGTGTTGCTACACAATACCATCAGTGCAAACTGTTCGCGATCGTGACCCTTATATTTGGTGGACAGGTGTTGCTGCACAATACCCATCAGTGCAAACTGTTCGCGATCGTGACCCTTATATTTGGTGGACAGGTGTTGCTACACAATACCATCAGTGCAAACTGTTCGCGATCGTGACCTTTATATTTGGTGGACAGGTGTTGCTGCACAATACCATCAGTGCAAACTGTTCGCGATCGTGACCTTTATATTTGGTGGACAGGTGTTGCTGCACAATACCCATCAGTGCAAACTGTTCGCGATCGTGACCTTTATATTTGGTGGACAGGTGTTGCTACACAATACCATCAGTGCAAACTGTTCGCGATCGTGACCCTTATATTTGGTGGACAGGTGTTGCTACACAATACCATCAGTGCAAACTGTTCGCGATCGTGACCCTTATATTTGGTGGACAGGTGTTGCTACACAATACCATCAGTGCAAACTGTTCGCGATCGTGACCCTTATATTTGGTGGACAGGTGTTGCTACACAATACCATCAGTGCAAACTGTTCGCGATCGTGACCTTTATATTTGGTGGACAGGTGTTGCTACACAATACCATCAGTGCAAACTGTTCGCGATCGTGACCCTTATATTTGGTGGACAGGTGTTGCTACACAATACCATCAGTGCAAACTGTTCGCGATCGTGACCCTTATATTTGGTGGACAGGTGTTGCTACACAATACCATCAGTGCAAACTGTTCGCGATCGTGACCCTTATATTTGGTGGACAGATGTTGCTACACAATACCATCAGTGCAAACTGTTCGCGATCGTGACCTTTATATTTGGTGGACAGGTGTTGCTACACAATACCATCAGTGCAAACTGTTCGCGATCGTGACCTTTATATTTGGTGGACAGGTGTTGCTGCACAATACCCATCAGTGCAAACTGTTCGCGATCGTGACCTTTATATTTGGTGGACAGGTGTTGCTGCACAATACCATCAGTGCAAACTGTTCGCGATCGTGACCTTTATATTTGGTGGACAGGTGTTGCTGCACAATACCCATCAGTGCAAACTGTTCGCGATCGTGACCTTTATATTTGGTGGACAGGTGTTGCTACACAATACCATCAGTGCAAACTGTTCGCGATCGTGACCCTTATATTTGGTGGACAGGTGTTCCTACACAATACCCATCAGTGCAAACTGTTCGCGATCGTGACCTTTATATTTGGTGGACAGGTATTGCTACACAATACCCATTAGTGCAAACTGTTCGCGATCGTTAACTTTAAATTTGGTGGACCGCTCTTGCTACACAATACCATCAGTGCAAACTGTTCGCGATCGTGACCTTTATATTTGGTGGACAGGTGTTGCTACACAATACCATCAGTGCAAACTGTTCGCGATCGTGACCCTTATATTTGGTGGACAGGTGTTGCTACACAATATCCATCAGTGCAAACTGTTCGCGATCGTGACCCTTATATTTGGTGGACAGGTATTGCTACACAATACCCATCAGTGCAAACTGTTCGCGATCGTGACCTTTATATTTGGTGGACAGGTATTGCTACACAATACCCAAGTTTATCAATGTTTGCAAAATATATCTTTCAGTAACCTGCAGCAAGGTGTACAGTGAAATACTTTTTTCTGAAGCTGGCCTTGTTTATGAAGACAGACGAAACCGTTGTTACCTCTCAATGCAGAGAAATTAGTATTTATTCACCATAAAATGCCCTTAGCTACGTAGTACTATTATTTATTCTGTGCCTTAGCGCAGTACGAGAACTAATTTTGTAAGTTTTAAAATGAAAATTTTGTGATTACTGATTATATTTGTTAAGTGACATAAATGAAGTACTTAACTAAATTTGATATTTTGTGTTTTTTTTAATCCGGTATCCGGCCGGATAGTAATTTTAGGCTGGATAGGCCGAATACCGCATAGTTACCGGATATCCGTTTCGTCTCTATTTTTTATGCTAAAGCGACTGAACTATATGACTTGATCTGTTTATGAATTAACTAAAAAGTATTTCAAACTTCTTGATTGCTACTGTTTTCAGGATTATAATGGTTTTATAACAATTACCGTTGCCTTGCGAATTCGCGCAGTTTTACTCGATTCTCAAGCCGACTGTCATAATCTGCGGGGGTCGTTGCTACCCCACGCGTATTAAAATTACAAAAAAAAAAGGAAACAACTGATATCATAGAACGGGCGTCATTTGATTTTAAACCTAAAGTGTGTGGTGTTACAGTGAGTTTTGTATTGTGCTACGGATGGGGGCGAACGGAGCGACGGTGAGGTCTGTTAGCGATTTACTTTGGGATGCGGCGAACCTACATCGGAGGCGGCTTAACGCAAACCCGCAGACTATGACAGGCCTTAGGGAGCTTGCAAAACGGGCGTTTAGTCGGCATAATACTTGCTAGATTCGAAGTTTTCATATACGTTAAAGATGATAATTTGGGATCATAGGAATTGATTTGACGGTTTTCGACTAACGCGACTTTGTGAACGCGCCCGATATGCATGCACCCTAATGGCTTTTAC